AATATGATGCCTTTTTTTTAGAGAGAGTGGAAGAGAGAGGGAAAGACAGAGAGAAACATCAATGTAAGAGAAACACATTGATTGGTTGCCTCCTGCACAAACCCTGACCAGGGCTTGGGTCGGGGAGGAGCCTGCAACCTAGGTACGTGCCCTTGACCAGAATTGAACCCGAGACCCTTTGGTCCAAAGGCCAATGCTCTATCCCAGGGGTCCTCAAACTACGGCCCGCGGGCCACATGCAAATACAAATATTGTATTTGTTCCCGTTTTGTTTTTTTACTTCAAAATAAGATATGTGCAGTGTGCATAGGAATTTGTTCATAGTTTTTTTTTAAACTATAGTCCGGCCCTCCAACGATCTGAAGGGCAGTGAACTGGCCCCCTGTTTAAAAAGTTTGAGGACCCCTGCTCTATCCATTGAGCCAAACCAGCTAGAGCAACACATTTTTATTTGATTTGGGAAAGGGACTCAGGGCATAGATGGGGTGGTTTGGACCAGATCTTATGGCTCTTTGGGAAAGTTAGAAAGCCTTAATGGACACTTCATTTCTTCAGTAGCTATTTGGGGATGTTAGCCTATTTAATATTGTTGGCCAAAATCAGGGTGGGAGTTGGGTAGAGAACAGAGTGCTTTTGCTACTGTCCCAAGGTTCTTCAGCCTAATGGCATACTAAGGAGGATTTTGATTAGACAGAGGGCTACCACCAGTCTTTGGTGAAAAAGCTGCTGGTCATTTCTCTGAAGCTTTGGGGAAGATGGGATGGAGCTGAGAGTGAAGCCTGTGAACAGATCGAGGCCCTGCTAGGGGACTAGTAATCAGGAGGACAGCAGCTCCTGGCTGGGAGTCTCCAAACCTGCTCGTTATATTTCCTCTGTGTTAAGCCATCCCAAAGAATGTGGAGATAGTGAAACCAACCACGAGCTGGATATGAGGCTGGTGAAGGGGCTTGGAAAGGCTGTGGAGTCTTTTTCCTGGAATTCCCCAAAAACAGCCTTCTGGGAGGGAGAGAGAGAGTGCTGGCCAGGATCATTAAGTCTATGATTTGCTTTCTAGGTAGCACAAGAAATCTGGGTCTGTGAGAAGCAGACAATCACCAAATGGCCTGGAGACATCCTGGCCTACAAGGAGCACCTCAAGTCCAAGCTGGTGGGCGAAGAGCCCCAGCTTAGCAGGAGGACCCACAATGTGTGAGCCCTACCCTGGCCAGATGGGCCAGGCCCCTGGGGCCGCACTCCTGCATTGCTGCAATACCACTCCCCAGCTCCTCCCTTGCCCCCACCTGCCTTAGCTACACTCTGTGATCCTATCTACAGCTGGACAGTACCTGTCCGTTTTCTGTCCTTCCCATTATTTTTGTCCATGTCTGGACTCAGCCGGCTGTTCCTGCCAGCCCTTGCTGGTTCCTGACCCTGAGTGATGCAGCCAGAGGCACCTGAGGGTTAGCCCAAGGGCCCACACCCTGGTTGGCTTGTGAAGGAGCTTAGGATCCTGGTTTTCTGAGTTTTGATGAAATTGGAGGAATACAACTCAGCCCAACGCCCCCATTCCTTTCTGCTTCTGGTTTGGAGCTCTGGATCAGGGCCTTATTCCTGATCGGTTTTTAAATAATTATTTAAAAGTGTAACTTTTAGACCTGCGTGACATCTACAAAGCGTCCAATAAAGAAAGAACAAGCCATGGTCCCTGCTTTTTTTCTCGGGTCTCTGGGCCCTTTGCTCCCCTCCTCGCTGCACTGCCAATGTCCATTTCCCTTCAGCAAGAGCTGGGGTGGGTGTCAGGATGGATGTGGTCTGAAGACTGGTCTATAGAATCCTGAAGAACTCAGTCCCTTTTGCTGATTTGAAATTGTGCCTTTCTTACACTAGTGGTTCACAAACTTTTTTTTAAAATATATTTTATTGATTTCTCACAGAGAGGAAGAGAGAGAGACAGAGAGTCAGAAACATCGATGAGAGAGAAACATCGATCAGCTGCCTCCTGCACATTTCTCACTGGGGATGTGCCCGCAACCCAGGTACATGCCCCTGACCGGAATCGAACCTGGGACCCCTCAGTCCGCAAACCGATGCTCTATCCACTGAGCCAAACCGGTTTCGGCAGGTTCACAAACTTTAAGGAGTCAGAATCACCTGGAGGACATGTCAGGTCACAGGTCACGGTCTTTCCTGAGGCTCTGGCTCAGTAGACCAAGAAGTAACATTTCTAACAGGTTCCCAGGCGCTGCTGGTGCTCCTGGCCTGGGGACCACGTTGAGAAGTAGCCTCCTGGAACATGTTTCTCAGAGTTGTCTGAGGCGCCTGCCACGTGGGACCTGTATCACACTCTTAGGACGCTTATTAAAAATGCAGCTGCCCAGGCTCCAGATCTGTTGATTCTATCTGGTGGGATGGGAGAGGTACAAAAATGGTCAAGAGTCTGCATTTTCACACCCAAATTTGTGAACCACTGTTACTGGTCATACAGGGAGCTTTATTATTTTACCTGTATTTTTGCCTGAATTTTCATTAGCACTATCTAGATGACAATCATCAACCCAAGGATTGGCATAGCCTATCTGAACTTGGAGTAGCATTCACCTTTGTGCCACCATGGATTCCTCACTCCACCTCTGAAACCTCAGCAGCCATGTCTGTGGGAGAACACAGCCATGATTTTTCAGTGCTCATTACAGTGCATCTCCAACTAGAAAAGTCTGGGATGTCGTCTAAACCCCCACAGAGCTCAGGATATAATGAGAAAGGCAACAAGACTAGAGAGCAAGATGGCATAAATCAGATGCTAATTTGTGATTTAGGTAGAAGGATACAAAAGGGAGGGAAGTTTTCCAGAAAGGTGGGACTTGGTGCTCTAACTTGAAAGATGAGAAGGATCTCAGATGGCCATGAAGTCCAAGAGCAGCCCTGGGCAGAGGTACAGTAAGTGAGCATCAGGTGAAAAGCTGTAGCTCAGGTGCTGAGGCCAGAGGAGGGGCTAGGACTCCTACTCCACCCAGGGCCTGGCTTGCTGCTTTGTGCCCTAAATGGGGTCCAAAGCAAAGTGGCCTGTCATTGGTCTGGAGTATCCAGAGACTGGATTCCGGGGGGAATGGTATCAAGAGTGAGCTGTGGGGATGGATGATAAGCTGTGGAGCTGGGAGTTTTTGCTGCTTCAGCCAAGGAAGGCTGCTCTATATTACAGCCCTGAAAGTCGCTGGGTCCCTGTGCAGTGTACCTGACGTGTAAAGGATGGGGGCTTCAGAGCTGGAGGAAAGTTGGCTTGACTATGCAAAAGAAAAGCCAATCTCAAAACTTATGAATGCTTTAAAAGCTCACCAAATAGGTATTTCTGCAAATGCCTAAAATTAGCATTGCCCTATTGTGGGTGAAGCATTGGCCTCCTGACGGTGCCCTCAGTGGTCCTGGATCTGTCTCTGGCTTCAAAGTTTGGATAGAACAGATCCAGGGATGCCCCTTCTTCCAGCCTCAACCACCCTATGTCTTTCCAGTCACCACCTCTGGAACCACCCTCAGCCATCTTCAGCCTGCGAAACCAGCCAACACCGTTTTTTTTTGTTTGTTTTTGGTGTGATTTTTTAAAAAATTATTATTACCTTAACTTCTTATTGCCAAACAATCATGAGCTCCCTAAGTCGTCAGTGTTCTTCCACGGAGGTGGAGGCTGCCGTCAACCGCCTGGTCAACCTGCATCTGCGGGCCTCCTACACCTACCTCTCTGAGCTTCTGTTTGGACCGCCACAATGTGCTCCGGACGGCAGGGGCCACTTCTCACACAAGTTGGCAGAGAAGCACAAGGGTGCTGAGCGGCTCTTAAAGATGCAAAGCTAGCGCAGTGGCAGATTCCCTTCTAGGACATGCTGAAGCCTTCCCAAGGTGAGTGGGGCAAACTCAGGACACCATGGAGGCCGCCATGGCCTTGAGGAGGACCCTGAACCGGGCCTTGTGGGTCTGCAGGGTCTGGGTTCTACCTGCTCAGCCCTTCATCTCTGACTTCCTGGAAAACCACTTCCTGGATGAGGAAATGAAATCATAAAGAAGAGGGGCGACCACCTGACTAACCTCTGCAGGCTGGCCAGCCCCAAGCTGGGTGAGTATCTCTTCGAAAGCTCCCCTCAAGCAGACTAGGACCTTTGGAGCCCAGAGGCCTTTGAGGGGCCCCTCTGCATCCCCCCATGTCTGGCTTTTGCCTGAGCCATTCTTCTAACCACTCTGGAGCCCTCTGGAAACAATAAAGCTTGCAGAAAAAAAAAAAAGAATTGGCCTCCTAGTCCTCTCAAACCTTAGCATGTAAGAGGTAGCCAGATGCTGGGAACTGAGTGAGGGGTGAGTCTAGTGCAGGGATGCTTGCTAAGGTTTGTTTTCAAACCTTTCAATGGGGGCAGTCTCGACTTCACCCTCACCGGCAACCCTGAGGAGAACAGGATCTAAAGAGACACCAGGGGTTTAGGCGAAACCAGCCTCGTATGGGCTCAGATTTCCTGTTATCAGTGGTAACCAGAAGTGTCTAGTTCTGTCTCCACCACTGGCTTGATGTATGTCACTGGGGAGTTACTTACCTCCCACTTTACAGAGAAACACTTAATGTCTGCCTACTCACATTGTAGGATTTATCAGGTCCCCACCGTTTGTTTTACTAGAGATCACCTAGTTCAAAATTTTGTGCGATAGCCCAGCTGTCCCATGCATCAGGACGATGCTCAGCCAACTGGTTCGATTCCGGGTCAGGGCATATGCCCGGTTTGCAGGCTCAACCCCCAGTGTAGGGCATGCAGGAGGCAGCCGATCAATGATTCTCTCTCATCATTGATGTTTCTAGCTCTCTCTCACTCTCCCTTCCTCTCTGAAATCAATAAAAATTATATTTAAGAAATAAAAATATCCTGTGTGATAGGAGAGGAAAGTGCCTTATTTGAGGTGACAGAGTGAGTCACAGTCCAGCCACAGAACCGGGTGTCCTGACTCCTCTCATCTGGTACTGAGATTGGGTCACAGAGGTGTGCTCTCTGGCAGGTAATTTGGTAACAACCATCTACCAAATTAAGTGCACACACCCTGTGACTTGGCAGTGTTGTCTCTAGGAATAACCTTCTTTATGCTTGCACAGTGTCCAAAGTTGCATATTTACTATAACACTAATGGCAAGAAAACAAAACCCCCAAAATGTCCATTAAAAGATGAATGGAGATATAAGCTATAATTCCTCCACACTATGAAACACTATGCAAAAAAACCCAAAACTAAGCAAATACATTCAATGGAAAAAGCAAAGTGCTGTGTAACTGATTCCATTTGTCAAAGATAGATGCTGAGGGGGCAGGGATGTGCTAGAAGAGGTTAATGGGGGGGAAAGGGACATATGTAGTACTTTCAACAATATAGATTTTTTTAAAAAGCTAGATGCTGACATGTGCTTATACAGAACCTGATAGTGTTACCTCTTTTGGTTGGGACAAACCATTTCTTTTTAACTTGGAAATAATAGTATAAAAATGAATCCCCATTTCCATGTCTCTTGGCTTCTGGGAAGAGGCTGGTGAGGTGGCCTTACAGTGCTGTGTCTCCAACCTGGGGCTGGGGCATCCAGCAGAGCTTCCTCGTTAAAGCACTCCTGCTGTTTATCCAGGTGCACCCTGACATCAGCATCTCTTCCAAAGCTATGAGCATCATGAACTCACTTGTGAATGACATGTTTGAGCGGCTGGCCTGTGAGGCCACCCGACTGGCCCCAGTACTCAGACCGAACCACACTGACGTCCTGGAAGTCCAGGCGGCAGTGCGCCTGCTGCTGCCTGGAGAGCTGGCCAAGCACACTGTGTCCAAGGGCACCAAGGTTGTCACCAAGTACACCAACTCCAAGTGCCCCGGGGCCTAAGCTAAATAAAGGGTGAATTGCTCTCATGCACTGTGGTGATTTCAAAAATGGACATGTGCAGGTGAGGTGTGATTTGGGACAAGGGTATTATACTTTTCCCCCTCTTTTTTTTTTTAATATGTTTTTATTGATTTTAGAGAGAGGGAGAAGAGAGGGGGAGAAAGAGAGAAATATTGATCGGCTGCCTCCTGCATGAGCCCACAACCTGGTCATGTGCCCTAACCAGGAATTGAACCAACCACCTCTCAATGCATAGGACAATGCTCAACTAACTGAGTCACCCAGCCAGGGCAGGTATTGTCACTTTTGATGACCACTGAGGTGGAATTGCAACACTTATACCTTTTTTTTTACATTGCTTTTTGGGTGTACCCCATGAGCACATGTGAAAAATGTTCTCGTCTGCAATGAGCTGATGTAGGACTTGGGGCTGGATTCAGAATCCTCCAGCTGCTACCAGCTGTATTCATCATGCCCTCTCTGGGCCTGAAATTCCTCCTGTGTTACTCCGCATGAGCCCACAACAAGAAAAATGATTTTAAATATAATAATGTTACATGCAATAAACCTTAATATTTCAAGAAAAACTATTTATTTATTTATTTATTTATTTATTTATTTTTATTAAATCTTTATTGTTCAGATTATTACAGTTGTTCCTCCCCCCTCCCCCAATAGCTCCCCTTCACCCGGTTCCCACCCCACCCTCTGCCCTTACTCCCCCCATCCTCATCCATATGTGTATGATTTTTGTCCAGTCTCTTCCTGCATCCCCCCACACTCCTTTTCCCCCGAGAATTGTCAGTTCACT